GCTATGACATTGTGATATAGCTAAGAATAATACAAGAAACTATGTAACTCGATGCCTTCTAATAATCTACTCTTTCTAACAAAAGATCTTAAGGTTTCATCTTCTTTACTTTTATTAAATTTTAATTTTTCAAATTCCCTCCAGTGTAAGTAGAGGAAACCTTTATATTTCTGAATGATTCCCATCAGAGGAGACTGCATTATCAGGAGGATTTAAAAAAAAAAATAACAAACTGCAAAAAGAAATCTAAGTGATAAAGGCCAAACATATACAGTAGCTTGTGAAAGCAGACAAACTAATCTACTAATTTCAATTGGTTCTGATTTTCTCAATGAGCAGCTCATAGCTTAGGAAAAATGAAAACAATGGCTACTGAGCTACTGTAAATTTATTCCACAAACATTTATTGTGTTCCTATCATGTTCTAAGACCATGATTAGGCACTGGCCATTCTCAGTCAGTCTCACAGACCACATAGTCAGGCTCTGTGATGAACAGCTCCTAAAAACCTGGTTAGCATTGCTTGAGACCAGGAGCCTATTGTAATTGGTGAAATTTCATGACCTACACTACAATACTCAACATATAACAGATCCTTAATTGCAAGTGTCTTGATTTCATACCAGGTAAAGAGGAATTGCAATGACTTCTGAGTCTCAATAGTCTACACATGTCAGTGAACAGCAAATGGGTGGCACACGCTGCATGTAACTAGCAATGCTACCAAACAAAGCCTTGTGGTTTTTCCGTTCAGTGTGGCTGGCTGTGACCTCCAAGATCAACTATTTCTGATTATTGTTTGTCTTTTTTTGAGTCACAACAATCTTTGGGAACTAAAACTGCATTCTTAATGGCACGGATCACATTTAGTATATTTCATGTATGATTAGAGCCCTGGAGATATAATAATCATTTTCTTAACAAACACTGATGATGTCACATAATGGACGATGAGGAATAAATCTAAGATGTAGAAGTTTCAGGTTGGGAGCAAGGGTGCGCTTTGTGGGTGCTCCAGAAATGGAAGAGGAGACATTTATAAAAATCAAAGGACTGTAAGAAGAAATGTTTCTAAGGAGTCAGTATCTTGAGAGTTTTGAAACAAGAAAAACCACTGTAAAACATCGGGGGTACTCTTATGTAAATGTTTTGACCTGAAACTTGAAACTCTATGAAACTTGGCTAATGTCAGACAGCTTGACAATAGAACTAGCAAGTAATTAGTCTAATCTTTTTCTAGGCTTCTGAAGAATTTGCCCTGGTTCCTTTCCAAAATGCCACTCGGTTTGCTATAGGCCATTGTGGTAGAGGGGTTGTGCGCACGCATGCATGTGCAATTGGGTGGTCTTTCGTGGATACAGTTAGGGCAAGCTTGAGATAGCTGGCATCTGCAAGGCTTCTGGTGTCAAGCATTCCTGACTCTTGCACATGCATGCGGGACCACTGGCTTTGTATCTATGATTCTTTTGCCCACATCTCTTTCACACATGTGATTCTAGAGCAATGGTAAAATATTAGGTCTTCCTCCCTTTGGAACGGTGTTCACTATAGAATTTCTTCACGAAAGATGCTTGAAACTTGAGAATCAGATTTACCAAGCTAGGACTATGATTTAATTTAATACTTATGGTTTTAAAGGGGGGGGAAGGGAGTCTAAGAAGTACACTATTTTTCTCAAGGATTGTGAGGCATTTTTTTGCTATAATCTTTTTCACGGTGGTTTCTCTGAGAGTATTGCCATAGCCAAGTGGGTAGTTCTGGCTTTATCTCTTACCATGACCGAACAACAGCTAGTTCTGCCATAATTGCCTTTCACAGTATTGAGTGTAGGATTTTTGTTTTCATCGAATAGGAAATTATGTTGCATTAAATCAAGAGCCTACTTTGGTAGACATTTAAAGTAAGTATGCCATAGAAAACATTACTCATCCCCCCCAAAGTCTATTAGTTTGAGTGTAAAAGGTTTTCCATAGTCTCTTATGTTGGAGTACTTGTTACCAAGATGGTGGCTCTGGATTAGAGGGTAGCAGAGCTTTCTGGAGGCTTCACTGGATGGAATGAGTGACAGAACAATTGCCCTTGAGTCTTTCTGGCCTGCCTCCACTTCCCATCTTCTCCCTGATTCCTGAGTGTAGATGCTATGTGACCAACCACCGCAGCTGACTGCTGCCATGTCTTCTCCTTCATGATAGACTGACTAGACGGTGGCAGTTCATTTTATGTGTGCAGGTGTTTTGTCTGCATGTATGTCTGTGTACCCCAGATAAGGCTGGCATCCACAGAGGACAGCAAAGGGAATCAGATTCACAGGAATTGCACTTACAGTAGGTTCTTAGCACCATGTGGTTGCTGGAATTGAACACAGGTCCTCTGGAAGAGCAGTCAGTGCTCTTAAGGACTGGGCCAGCCCCTGTAGTACTTCTTATATGACAAGCAAAAATAAACCCTCCTTTCCCTGAGTTGATTTTTTATCAGGTGTTTATCCCAACCATGAGAAAAGTAGCCTATACCCTGGAAGAATAGCTTACATAGAAAAGCCAAGGGAGGCTTCTCTCCCTATTCATGTTTTGAAATAAATTCACAGGGTTTTCTTTTGCAGATGTTGCTAAGTGAAATAATACTGTCCCTCCCAGTTACTCTCATTTGAACCCCTCCACTCTCAAGTTAATGGCCTCTTTTACTTTCAAAACACTTGCTATACACACACACACACACACAATATGTAGGCACAAATGTGTGTCTAACTAGAACCTGTTATGTTTGTTTTTGCTGTTTACGTGTATAAGGCCTCAAAGATGACTGCACTAAATAGCCAATAAGGGGGTCTCGTCCATAGAAAAGGCCAACTCTGTTCCCAACAGCGAATAGTTGCATGCAGTTCTTAAAATTTTTATTCTGAAAATTCTTTTAGCTATAGTCACCGCCATAATTTTAAAACTGAAAACCCGACCTTGGGTTCTTGACACACGCTGATTAAAACTAAGTGTTGCAAACAGAAAGATTAGCTTAGTTAGAGATGTGTATATGATATACATATTTCCCTTTTATCCTCCAAGGAAACCTCAAATGATTTCCCCAGAACCCAAGAGAACATGAGTCAGAAAAAATAATAACGTAGAAGTGTCATGATAAACATATCATGTGGAATAGCACACAATCAATGTGAAATTTATTAAACACTCCCCTAGGGGTGGTGGTATTATCCGTGTCCTCATCAGCTAACGCCACGGTACAGTTTCCCTGCCTCTAGCCTTGCTACTCTCAAATATTTCTTCCCACTATAGCTGGAAATTTTTTTCAATAGACATCTGGCTTGGTATTTATCCTCTTTCATAGATGTGAACGATATTTTAATATCTGCAAGTGAAGTCTACCACTAACGGAACTCCAGCTGATGCTACCAGCCCTCTGAAATTCAAAGCGTTCGTCATTGTGACGATGATGTTTCAGTAACAGTTGCAAAGTTCTGAAACCTTCATGCCTTGTTGGTGTTCCCTCCATATCATACATTCACAAAGCAACTTTATTATAAGGATGTTTTCTACTGCTCAGATTCTGTCTTAAGGGAGGTATCATCCCCAGACCTTCCCTAGGAAATGCTGTGGCGTGCCAGCCCACTGTTCCCTTGAGGTCTGGCTCACTCTTTCTACCTCCTGGCAATGTTGGTGGCAGACTGCTTGCAACTGATGCTCTCTTTGTAAGTATTGCTGTGGCCAAGAGAAGTCCCATCACCCAAGGTCAGTCCTCCTTTCAGTAGAAAGTTATGATCAATGACCAGCCAACACAGGAGTGTGAAAA